TCTTAACTGCACATTATCTTTGGCGATTAATCCTAAAAAAAAAAAAAAACAAAACAAAAAGAAAAAATCGGATCGGCTAGGCGGTCTAGGCAACCGCCTAGCCGCCCGCCCGCGGAGGAGGCCGATTCCGGCCTTCCTCGTCGCGGCCAGGTGACCGGGCGGTGCCTAGCGCCTAGGTGCCGATTAATCAGTGCCTAGGCGCGATTTTTGCAACACCGGGGGAAGAGAATGCGGAGAGTTCGATGGTGGCGAAGCAATACTACTTTCGCCCGGTGACCTCTCTATCTTTTGGTGGCGAGGGGAGTAGTGTTGTCTTTCGTCTCCAGATCCATAGAGACGATCGCAGAGTCGGAGACCTTTTTTTTTTTTTTTTTTTTAAGTTAAATTTTAACTAAAGGTGTGTTTGGAAACCCGGAAGAAATCATTTTCCGAGTTTTCACTGTTTGGAAAGAAGGAAAATTTAAAGTCAACGGAAAATGAGGCATTGGTCAATGGAAAATGGGCTTATTTTTCCGGAAAACAACTTCCCCTTTTCTAAAGGGGAAGTCATTTTTCAGATGTTGACTTTTCACTTTCTCCACTTTCGCGCTAGTTTCTTCTTCATCTGTTGGCTTTAGAAACCAGTACTCACTGGTTTCCGACGTCCTTCCGGAAACCAGTGAGCACTGGTTTCCTTTAAGCTTTGGTTTCCGACGGGAATCTGGTTTCTGCCGGAAACCAAAGGTATTTTATTTTATTTTTTTTTATAATAAAATGCCCATCTGGTTTTCGCGCGGAAACCAGACATGGTTTCCGTAACGGAAACCAATGAAAACCTCTTTTTTTTTTTTTTTTTTTTTTTTTTTTTTTTTTTAATGTACTTATTTTAATATTATATGATTATATTAAAAATTATTTTAGTATTATTATAAATATTTTTATATTCTAAATAAAATAATTAAAATATTAATTTATACAATTCTACTTATTTTTCAGAAAATGAACCAAACACACTAATGTAGTTTTCCAGAATGCAACTAAACACGGGAAAAGAAAATATTTTCCGAAAAATGACTCATTTTCCAGCTTTCCAAACGAACCCTAATTACTTTTTGGTAACCTGCTATACTTTCTCAACCTATTGAAACACAAACGGACCCTAATTACTTTTTGGTAACCTGCTATACTTTTTCAACCTACTGAAACACAAAGAACCAACGCCTCCACTGAGGCTCAAACTCACAACCTTCCAAATGGAAGTCCAACCCGGGTACCATTAGACCACATAGTCCTGGTACAATGTGGTACAATGTTGAATGATCTAATTGTATTCTTTTTAATTGATTGACCTAATTACATTTTCACGTTATGTACGATGGCTAATTTGAACCTTATTCCATTAATTAAAAAATAACTACTCAACCAATCTTTCAAACTAGCTATCAGCTAACAACTAATTTACCAAACAAATTTATATAATCAACTAATGTTATAAACTATTATACCCCCGCTAACAGCCATTTACCAAACAGGACCACAATGATACTCGTAATTGATGGATTCCCATGGGATCCATTTGCAATGGTTATGTTATGCAAACGTGTGCACACGGTTGTAAAAATGACGTCGTTTTGACTAAAAACACGCATCCCACTTAAAAAATAATAATTAAGTTTCGATTCCCCTCAATAACATTATGTTGTTCATTCATTCTGGATTTTTAGTTTAATCTGATTTTTTGTTCATTCATGCTGGATATTTAGTTCATTCATTATGGATATTTAGTTCATTCATTCTGAATTTTTAGTTCATTCATTATGAATTTTTAGTTCATTCATTCTGAATATATAGTTCAAACTATACACAACATAATGCTGTTGTTGGAAATTGAAATTGATTTTTTTTTTTAAAGTGAGACACACATTTTTAATTAAAACGACGTGGTTTTTACAACTGTATACACCATGCATGGTGCACACCGATGCACAACATAATTTGCCATCCATTTGGTAAACTGGTTATACCCAAAACCCATTTCCCTGGCTCTTAAGCCCTAGATAACCCCATCCCAAGAAACTTATCGCCATGTTGAATGAATGAAGTCTATCAGTACCAAATAAGGAGATGAGCAATCTCATATTCGCAGCCGCCCATTTCCTTTCTGCTTCTGCTTCCTGAAAGCTAAAAAGAAGAGGAATAGCGTGTTGCTTCTGCTATGCTTCACCTTCAAACTCGCGGAGGACTCTTCTCGTACAGTTTCAGTAGCTGTAGCTGTAAGTTGAACAATCTTCTGGTGATAATGGCGTCTTCCAAGCATCTGGTGCACACTTCCTTGAAGTCCTCCTTCATAGTCGCGCCGAAACCGGTTTTGAATTCCATAACGCCCTCAGTTCCTTCCCGTCTCATCCACACTCACGGCCACGGCCTCATATTTACTGCATTTGCTTCCAAACCCGTCTCCCCCGCTCGTCAGGCCTCCCGTTTGTCCTACAGGGCCCATCCCGTTCCCCCGCCAGGTTTTTTTCGTGTTTGTGAATTGTGATTGATGATTTTGTGACGGGGTAGCAGTTTTTGACGGTGTTAAGTTTATGTTGCTTTTTATAGTTTCCCTGGAAGATGGCCCCGAGGCGAAATCCTCGCGATTGAACTTGTTGAACCAGAAACTTAAGGAGGCCGGTATAGATAGTGGTTCGTGTGCCCCTGGCCAATACTCTGGATTGCATTGTCCAATGGTAATGACTTTAAATTGGCATTAACTCTGTTCTCAGGCCGTTCCATTTTTAATTTTTTTTTCAGTATGCACAAATAATATTGTTTTTTCATACCTATATGTATATGTTTTGGCTAGTGGGTGGAAGGGTGTAACTTGGGAATTATCAACTACCATTTCTCGGAATTTGAATGCAGTTGTCATTGAAATGACCTACGTTTGCTCTTTCATGCAAGTGTCTGTACTGTATAGTTTTTAAATCATATATAATGCCAATTCAGCATGTCATACAAGCTCTGGAAAGTCTGGTATTAAAATGTTTGGTTGGATTCATGCCTACCATTTATCCTGCTAAATTTATGATTTCTTATGTTGAAGTTACCAGAGTATTTTGATGAGCTTCTTTCCTAAAAGTGAATAAATAGAGATGCACCATACTGTGGCAGAAACATAGTATTTTTGCACAAAGACAAGTGTTTAACATTTCAATGTGTTTCTGTATCTTCAAAAGGGATGGTGTATATTTTGTTATGTTCTCTGTAATTTTGGGTGGTACCCCTTTGTTGCTCATCAATGATTTATTATTAAAAATAAGTGGTATCAATGCCATGGTGCTTGTGCATGGGTTGGCAACATGGTATATACATTCAAGTTGCCACTCTATTTGGGTATTAACCCATTTTTCTGCATGAACTTGCTTAAACCATTCAAGAATGACCAGACAGATCCATGTCAGGGTGAATCCGATTGGACACCAACTTTCCTTCCAGTCAGTTTGATTCAAGACGGTCTCTTGACAAGTCCAACCAAGACATGTGGTTACTTCACACTATGTGGAAGGATTACCAAAGTCAAAGGTCAGCTATGAGAAGGAGAATTCCCATTGGCAGTTCTTATACAAGTTTGAGTTCCCCATGAGGACATTGATGGTGGACCATGTCATGGCCTTATTTAACAGCAAGGACTCACATTGATTCTGCTGTTTAGGAACTACTAGATTAGAGACAGATATAATAAAAAGTAAATGTCTAAATATGAATTAGAAACCTCAACACTTTGTGCTTAAAAAAAACACAAAATTTCAATGTTTTTGTTACGAAAGTAAAGAGAGTTTCTGAATGTGCTGTCGTATATTGTCTCAAACTCTCTCATAGAAAAGAGAATACAAAGCCCTATAAATAGGTGCCAGAAGACTACGAATAGGAAACAAGTTTCCATATGCCTACCTAAGACTGCCTAATATATAGAGATTCTATATATCAAATATATATTCTATAACACTCCCCTCAAGTTGGAGCATAGATTTTAATCATGCCCAACTTGTTACACAAATAACTGATAACCCAAAATAATGAGAGACAACACCAAAACACAAAATGAGATTCCATCCTTCTAGGGGTCAAGAACATAGAGACCCTAGACACAATCCCATCACCAATCACCCTCTTCGTCATAAGATCCCGAGGCAGCAGCAACACATTTACACTCAGCCATACCCACCAAAAACTGATCACAAACAGATCACAAAACACAGAAAAAAGGGAGCTTGAAGATGTACGAGACAAGACAACCTGACCGTAAGGCAGAAGGCGATGGTCCAAACTAAGTCCAGAACTGAGACAAACGGACTTAGGCAACCCAGGAACAGGTTGACCAAAACGTTTTCCAATCGTTGGACTAGTCAAAACGTGACGACAACTGAGCGAAAAAATTATCGTAAAGGCTTTGATACCATGTTATGAAAGTAAAGAGAGAGTTTCTGAATGTGCTGTCGTATATTGTCTCAAAGCCCTATAAATAGGTGCTAGAAGACTATGAATCGGAAACAAGTTTCCATATGCCTACGTACCTAAATCCCTAAAGCTGCCTAATCTATAGAGATTCCATATATCAAATATATATTCCATAATAGTTTTGACATTTTTTCATTTTATGTTTAAGCTGTTTAGTAGTTTGTATTACCTTTATAGTTTTCAAATTCTTATTCTAATGTGTTCTTGCAATGTTCTCTTGCTTTAGTGCAAAGGCGGGGACAATAATGAGAGGAGCTTATCTCTTTATATTGATCATAAAGGGTAATTGGTCGTAAAATTTTGTAGCTATTGCAGTATATTCCTTTCCTGTAACTTTATGCAGATGATATAATTCAATAATTCCTAGGGATACAGCTTTATGGACCTGCTTTCGAGGTAAATGTGGCTGGAGAGGCAGCGCACAGGTATGGTTTTAAATATTTAATTGTTTATGCTTTATCATTAAGCATTTTTTTAGACATAACATTTACACATGGGTATTGTTTATTTGATTGCAGGCATTGGGAGATACGAAGTCAACAAATGGAGATATGAAGAAGAGCTTGAAATCAAATAAGAAATACAGACAGTTAGATGAGCACAGTTTGAGATTGGAACCTCTAAGTAGTGAGGTATAGTAGTTCTTTTCTTTGTAAGTATACACCTAAACATCTTATTTTACTCACTTTTGGTTTTGATTTGTTGCCTAAAGTTGTCTGTTACATATGCCTATATAGTTAGTGTTAACATTAAGGCAAAATCACTATTATATGATACTCAATATAAACAATTAGATCCACCTTTCTCTATCCTTCCTCTCTTCCCTCTTCGGCTGCCCCCTCTCTTTACCCTGCCCAAGCCCCTCTCTCTTCTCGTCACATCACTTAATGGCTGTTTTGATAGGTGTGCTGTATTGATGGAATAAATGGGGTCCCTTATATTAAGGATTAATTAATATGAACTTCACAGTTGATCCTTTTTTATTTTTATTTTTTTTGGATAAGTAGAGAGATTATATTTATTTAGGCACCAAGATGTACCATCCAGAAACACATTTTATCAAATTTAATTGCAAGATTATGTTTTCTTTATGTTGTGTATGCCAAGATTTTATATTATCATGTTTGGAATTGCCAAATTTACTTAATTAGTGCTCTGTTTTCCTGTTATTTCAGCTACTTACATACTTTTCCCAGCGAATGATTTCTGGGGAAACCTTGCGGAGAAATGGTGTCATGCAGCATAAAGCCTATAATCAGGTTTGTTATCTTATTGCATTTTAATATTATTGCACTTAGAGTCTTGGATTGATTAAGAGGCTACTTGGGGAAAGTTGATTTAAATTTTGGAAAAAGGGTCAAATTGGCCTCCTAAGTCATTCGGATATTGCAATTAGGTTCCTAAGTAAAAAAAGCTCCATTCAGATCCCCTAAACCTGTAAAATTGTTCAATTGAGTCCAAATTGACGAGTATAGTAGGTTAATTCTTCCCAAGCATGACACGTGTCATTTTTAAAATATTCTTTTTAATTTTTATGTTTTTGATCAACTATAATTGATCCTTAACTTTATCATCAGTTCTCAAACTTTTCCCTTTGAATTACCTAATTTTCAGTTTTGTGTTCCTATTTGAGGCCATACTTTGCAATTCATTAGGCGCTTGAACCTTTCACCATTGGCTCTTGGACCATTTTAATCATTTGGAAATTTCACAAGGGCTTTATATACAAGGCTGCTTGACAGCTGCTCTTCTGGCAAGTCTGATTTTGTACGGCAAATTTGTGTTTCTTTAAATGTTCTTCTCTTCTTTGTGAAACCACCTTGATTAATCTTTAAAGTGATCAAACTCCTTAATGAACTAGTAATGGCTTGTCCCATATTAGAGAAATATTGTAAAGCTCTAATTACCTCATCTTACCATAGCAGGTTTTGCATGGAGATATGATGAATTCAATGTTTCCCAGGCTAACTTTTCTGAAAGTTCTGTTGATACAGATTGTTATTGCATTTCCTTATCGGAGGAATGGCGAAATTGTAAGCTGCAAATACCGGGATATAAACAAAAAATTTTGGCAGGTGCTTGTCAATACCCTTTGACCCCTTCTTTAGCTAAGAAACACATTGATTTTAAAGCTTGATATAGTGCTACAGTTTATTTTCCAAACTCCACTAGCTGCATTCACACATTATTCATATTAGCCACATTTATTGATTCAACCCTTATTGTGTCTTATCTGTACGGCTAACCTCTTCACCTTTGAGTTGGGGAAATTCCCTTTTAATTCTTTCATGATAAAAAGTGGTGACTACTATTCATATTTTCCATTTTAAGATTTTCTTCTATTTATTGTTCTTGATGTTTTTGATTCTAAACTATGAATATCATTTGCTTTTTATTTTGGTTTTTGGCAGTGTTACTAATCTCTGATTGTTGTGCCATTGTTACTTTTCAGGAAAGTGACACTGAAAGGATATTGTATGGATTGGATGATATAACGGGAGCAAGTGATATAATTATTGTAATCTCAAATCTCTTAAATTTTCCTCTTTATAGAAGCACTTAAGATTCTGCTCTTTGTAAATGTCTACTCTTTTATTGCAGGTTGAGGGTGAGATGGACAAGCTTGCAATGGAAGAAGCTGGCTTTCGTAATTGTGTCAGCGTCCCTGACGGTGCTCCTGCATCTGTTTCCGAAAAAGAGTTGCCACCCGAGGATCAGGTCACTATTTTACATTTTAATCAATAGTCAACACAACCAGTTCCTTAAGGAAATTATTTCTTTCATATCTTTTCTGTATTTTGTCAAAATGCATTTGCTTACTTTATTTGCTTTTCCATGTGCTGCATTTTTTAAAATTTTTAATTCTAGCGGCTCTTTTCATCTATGTGCATCAATATTTAGCTACTTGTCCTTCAGTCCGAAAGTCCAAATAAGATTGGTTCTTGTAATGGGTAAGAATGAGGAAAAAGCAATATATAGAACAAGATCAAAGCTCTTTCAAGTCTGTATGCGATATAAGCAACCTTCACTTTCCTTAGCGATGAAACATCTTCTACAAATGCCGGATCTAATGCTTGTTTTATGTGAATTCTGTAAAGATAGGACACAAAGTATCAATTTCTTTGGAACTGCAAAGAATTCTTTGAAAAGGTTTGCTGTCTCATTTCTTTTATAATGTTGTGAAAATGTTGCAACCAGAAGGCTTTGGTTCTCTGATTTTTATTTATTTATTTATTTTTTTAATAGGCATCTCGTATAATACTTGCAACTGATGGGGATTCACCTGGCCAGGCTCTAGCTGAAGAACTTGCCCGCCGTTTAGGGAGAGAAAGGTTTATATTTCTCTCTGATGTTATGATCATGTGAATTTATTTATTTGTTGTAATTGGCATAAATTTATTGGCTAAATAGGTGCTGGCGAGTGAAATGGCCTAAGAAGATTAATGGGCATTGCAAAGATGCAAATGAGGCAAGCATGTTCATTTTGAAATTTTATTTCATGTGGGTTTATGCACAGGAATTCATAAACCTAATGATTATAATTTTCTAAATGATAATATTTTCCCATTCATGAGTCCTCATCTGTAATGTTTTACTAGTTGATATTATTACTTAATTACTCTGCTTTGATGTGGTTGTATATATATATATATATATATATATATATATATATATATATATATATCTTTGATCAGAAATGGAGATTGTATTTATAAGTGGGAAAGAAATTACATTAGAGGATCAGAGCTTCTGAGTCCTGTAAAATCTATTAAACTTAGTTGTTACTGTTCAATCTGCGTAATTCTTGCACTTGTTTGTTAATTATTAAAAAAAAGTCATTGCTTTTGGTTTTTTCTGCCACCCAAGTTTATCTGCTATGCATGCCTTTGACATATTAGGTGCTTATGTATCTGGGACCTGATGAATTGAGGGAGGTCATTGAAAATGCTGAGCTATATCCCATAAAAGGGTTGTTCAACTTCAGAGACTATTTTGATGAGATCGACTCGTACTATCATCAAACAGTTGCTTTTGATCTTGGGGTTTCAACTGGATGGAGAGGCCTAAATGAACTGTACAATGTAAGAATGCTTTCTTTTTACAGTCTTCACGTTTTCACTGTAGATGTTCGTTTTCCTGAAATTATTAATTCGAAGTTAATTATGAATTTCATCTTTGAAGTTATTGTTGACTGATAAAAAACAGGGATGCGTTGCTAATACTGAGCACATTCTTGATTGCCCAAGAGCTTTTGTCTTCTCCAATATAGGGAAGACTAGTCTTGTTTATTGAGTTTTGGATGGTCTTTAGTTGTATAAGGTGGTTTTTATGAATATGATCATATAACTAGCTTTGATGGAAACAATAACTCTGATTCAATGGAAGTTATAATTTCTAGGCTTAAATGTCAATACCTAACCAGCTATCCTGAACTTTGGGAAAGAACTGTTACACTGGGAGAAAACTCAGTGTGTCATGCTACCATAAATTTGAAATAATTCTCCACAGAGTTGTTAAACAATCCTTTTGTTCTGATCAGGTTGTGCCTGGAGAGTTGACGGTTGTTACAGGAGTTCCTAATTCAGGCAAGAGTGAGTGGATTGATGCTCTCCTATGCAATCTTAACCGAAGTGTCGGCTGGAAATTCATTCTTTGCTCTATGGAGAATAAGGTAAGCTTGCTTGTAAGTTGTAACTATATTGAAGTGAACTTGTAATCTTTTTCTTATTATTGGAAATGAGTGATTATCAGAGCACAATGAACACTTTAGAAAGTGAGCTTCAATTTTTATATATTTATCTAAAGAATGGTTGTCAGTGATTCTTATAAGAATGTCCTTTAAATCTCATTGATTTTGTTCCCTCATTTTGGGATCGGGGACATATATGGAGACTAATATGAAAGAATTATCATTATGGCTAGTGCATTGGAGAAGCCCAATCCATTTTCTTTGCATAAAGTACACAAGATTAAATCATTAAAAATTTGAATATAGTGTTCCTGACAACATGCCTCTTCAATCTGTTTACAGGATCTGTCTAAACTAGTAGCCTTCTATTTAAGAATTATCTAACCTTGAGTTCTTCAGTCCTTGACTGTATCAGCAACATATACATGATGCATATGCTGTATAGTAGTAGTTGTAGTAGTAAATAATAGTAATAATAATAATAATAATTTATTATTATTATCGTTGTTGTTGCTTATTTTCATATTGTATTAAGAAAAAATAGGGTATTTTCATTTATTCTATTCTTTGAACCTGCTTGTCAAAGCTTGCTGCTTTTGTTCTCAAGTGGGGGAAGCTTACTTAAGTTTTAGGTTTGGACAATATTTCCTCAAAATTTAGCCATCCCAAACTAAGGAAAGGCTGAAATATTTTAGACAAATACCAAATAGCAATAATTTGTTAATTAATTGAGTCATCTAATAATGCACATGTTTCCTGTGAGTATAGCACTATAGGTTAGGCCTAAGGGTGTTATTGAGTTGAGCTTGACTGAATAAAGTCTATTCAAGCTCGACTCTTTTTCCTTTAAAGTGTTAAATTTGGCTTGTTTCTAAACTAATCTTTGAACAGTGTTCAAGCTCAATTTGTCTTATTTGTTATGTTCACGTCGTTTATGTTCTCACTTGTTCAGCTTGTTTCACTTAAGTGAGTTCGTTCATGAACAATAAACAAGCATGGTGACCATAATTGTTCACAAAAAAAAAAAAAAAAAAAAAAAACTTATTATTCTTCAACTTGTTTAAAATCTTTATGTTTCATTCCAATTTGTAATTTGATTGAACTAAAAGAAAGTTTGAACAGAAAAGAAAAGCACATTATATTGCCTTGAACCCACAGTTGACCACATTACAATATTACATCACATAATATCAGGCTGAAAGTTGAAACCCATACACAACTGCATAAGACAAGTGAGACTCGAGTGTTAGATTTAGAAGCTGCAATATGCATCTCCAACCATGTGAGACAAAACAACACTTCTGGGTGTTGTCTTATATGGGGAATTAAGTTTCTTAACACCCATCCCCCACTAATGTGGGTGTTCAAAGTAACACGTGTTAAGGGAAATGGCCATTCCTTTGTGAGAAAGCAAAACAAACTTACAAAAGAAAGAACAGTCAAAATTTAACATGGAAGACACAGAGCGAGATATAACTCAGTGGAAAACTGAGATAATGGAATTGGAAAAGGGGGTTTAGAGATGGGTAGTTGTTATCTGGGAGTGGGGACCCAACTCCCCATGCCTTTCCCCGTGCTATGTTTTTTCTTCCTCTCCATGGGCATTCTTCCATAACTCGATTTGTCAAAATGGGTGATCGCTGATGAACTTTGGTGATTGGTGAACATATTGTTGCACTATGCTTTGATAAATCAAGTATTGGGAATCCCATAAATTGAGATGTGTTAGGCACATCATTGAGGGAGACCATATATGTAATATGGCAATGCATAGCATATCTGGTTAAAATCCAAATGTTTTTTATGTTAATCTAACTAGTTAAAGTAATTAACCAATTATAAGTTAATTTTTCATTAATTAGTTTATAAGAAGCAGAAATATTTTTAATTTTTAATTGAAAAATGCAAACAGCTATGAAAATAATAAAATTACTATAATATGCTTAAGCAAACATAAACAAGCACTCAAATGAGTATTTAAACAAGCACTTAAACTAACAAGCACTGCTCTTTTATTAAATGAGTTTTAAAATTTTGGTCAAACAAGTTTGTTTACAATATAAACAAACATAAAAGAACATTAGCTCAAGTTTTTCAACAAGAACACCAATTCTTTTACATCCCTAGTTAGGTTTAGGCTGCTTACAGCAAGTGGAGTATATTGATGGACCTTTCCTCTCAGTTCTTCTCATCTTTGTACTTGATTTACTTATCTGTAGGTTCGGGAGCATGCTAGGAAACTTTTGGAGAAGCACATAAGGAAGCCTTTCTTCAATGTCAGGCAAGTTAAGAAATAAGCTAGATTTATGTCTAATTTTTCGTTTTAATTATGATATGAGATCCATTCAAGAAAGGTACTTTCAAAAGGCTCGCAACAACTACTGTTGTTGCCAAGTATTCATTGCAATCCTGAAATCCAATAAAGTGGTAATAGGTGCTTTCTGTAAATGGTAAATTTCTGCAGATTCTTAATGGTTCCTATGTTGCAATTTTTCGTTACAAGAAGAGCCTTGGCTTTGTTTTGGGGGCTCAATTAGATATTCACGGATGTTGATGAGAACATGTAAAGTAGATAGAGCAATGAAGCAGAACCTTTGATAATTACACCAAAGTGACCTTTTAAACTGTGCAAATGTAGAGAATTCAGGGCAACTAACAAGAGAGAAAGCTAAAGTCTTAATAAGCCATACTCAACTAAATTGTTATCCTGGTTTCTGTGGTAAAACAGCCAGCAGGAAATTTGATAGCTATGGAGATGGTTTCAAATGAAACTCAAAAGTGATATTCTTTACTCATTGTGATTGTTTATCTTTACTATTCACTTTTGTGTTCATATATGTTGCATTGGTATTTACATTTAAAGAGATAGAGTTGCAATTGCTTCATCACTTCCATTTCTTTAAATGCCAGAGATGGGAGTGATGGGGAGGTGACAAAACTGTGTTTTTCTCTGAACATTTTGGTAGATATAAAATATATAGTATGTAACATTTTACATATGTTCTTAAATGATGTCAACCATTGATAATTGCAGGTATGGAAATGATGCTGAACGGATGAGCGTTGAGGAATTCGAGCGGGGAAAGGAATGGCTCAGTGATACATTTTCTCTCATAAGGTGGCATTTGCTTTCACTTTGGTCAATGGTTTTGATTCCGTTTAACTTACCTGTTGTCTGTTGACACTCAATCATGCCTTTTGTACCTCATAACTTTGTGATGCAAGCCAGCATTCTAATTGCTCGAGTTCTCTACTCTCTAAAACCAAATTTATCATGAGAGAAAGACACTCAGTTTATTAACTATTTGCTGCATAGGTGCCTTTTAGGTGTACAGGCATTATGAGTTGGACCTCTGGGCCTTTACCATTCTAGGGATAAGATCCATAAGATCCGTCTCATTTAGTGCTTTCTTAGGTGGTTGATGGGGAAACATGTTGATTTCTGTTGTCAGTTGTAATCATTTATTCATTTTCATTGGTGTGAAAATAGGATTCATTGGAAACCTATATTTTGTCAGTAAACTAATGAGACTGCTTGAGTATCCAGTGGATGTGAAGTATCACCAAAAGAAGAAGAGGAAGATTGTGTTGGATATGAGTATATGACTGCCATTGATTCTTTCTGATCTTAAATTATTTGGTGGCCTTATCCTAAGTTTACAATGTGTACGATTAAATTTAGAGGGCATGCATACATCTTAAGAATGTTGTCTAAAGCTTGTTTTATGAATTTAAGTACATATACAAATTTGTTTTCACTGTCATATATTACTGAATCTTTTATGTTACCTTTCATCATTGAAGTAAATAGAGAATGTAAACTGTGGATCAGGTGTGAAAATGATTCTCTACCAAATATAGATTGGGTTCTTAAACTTGCAAAGGCAGCAGTTCTGAGACATGGGGTGAATGGACTTGTAATTGATCCATATAATGAGCTTGATCATCAACGTTCTCCTAGCCAGTGAGTTGCCTCTATTCCGTTCCACCTCTTAAGGCAGCTTTAATGTTCTTTTCCTTAAATTCCTTCCTCGAGCTTTGCCATGTTAGAGTACCAATTTAATATTCAACAGGACTGAAACAGAGTATGTGAGTCAGATGCTCACAAAGATTAAACGGTTTGCTCAACACCATTCTTGTCATGTTTGGTTTGTAGCACATCCACGTCAGGTTGGTACTTGGTAGTTTATACTCTACTTCTCATTTGAAAGATCACTCTGCTCCTTAACCATGAAAAAGTTTGGTGACCATTCTGCCTGTGATTACAGTTGCATCATTGGGTTGGAGGTCCTCCGAATCTATATGATATTAGTGGAAGTGCACATTTCATAAACAAATGTGACAATGGAATTGTTATTCATCGGAATAGGGATCCTGAGGCTGGCCCTTTGGATCTAGTACAGGTGAGTGCTACATTTGTAAGAGCAATCGTTTAATTTTGACCTTAAATGTTTGAGTTCTCAACCATCCACCTTCAGGTTTGTGTTAGAAAGGTACGCAACAAGGTTATAGGAACTGTTGGGGACGCATTCTTGTCATATAGCAGGTATTTGATACATTATTTGTGGGATTTTCATTGTTTGCAATCAAATTGCATCAATTCAATGTTTCGTTTTGGGCTATTTGAGTAACTTTCCTGGTATATCATCAACTGAGTGATTTCTGATGTTTTTATTGAGTACCATTTTAATTGCTAATATTTCATAGGCAAATGATAAACTATGCAATAATTGAATTATATATATATATATATATATATAGTACTACTGTCTCTTCAACCTATTGAATCAATGCCCCCACTGGGGTTTGAACCTGTGACCTCCCATCTGGGAGAGCCATAGAGGTGCCATTGAGCTACAAGCTATTTGAAATTGAATTATATTTACTTGTTTCTTTTTGCATCAAATATTCAAATCTTTCATTCTTTCTGTGATGGTTATTGTTGGCTTTGTTGCCTCATGAAATTGTAGGATTTCAGAGAACATTAGTTTGAATGATTGAACTGCTTTTTGATATACTAAGCATCTGAGAACTTGGATGCTTATCTGGCTGGCTATGCCGCCCTGGAACTTTGCTTGGAAAATTGCTTCGCATATTATACTCTGCACAGCAATGCTCATGTATCCACTTGATTTCTAAAACTGGAAAATTACTCCTTTATTCTTATGCAAGTGGTGCAATGTCCTCAGTGTTGTTCCAGACAGTTTCCCTCATGCTTGTTGCTTTGTAGTGTTGTTACCTATAAAATATGATGCACTCAGTGACGTGCTACATTGCACTTTGTACCATCTCTTTTTCTTTTTTTTTTTTCTTCCCTGAAATCAATATTAATTTCGTTAACTCCATTATATGACTTCTATTTTCCAGGCTTACTGGTGAATTTGTGGACATTGATGAAAGCCCAAAGCAACAAAAGAAATCTTGAGCAATGAGTTGCAGCAATTCTGTGTTTGCGGAACTGTGCCAGTCTTGTGGATACGGGACTTGACCTCTGCATAAGCCATTGGCTCTGCTGCCATCTGTAGAGTAAATTAGCAACAAGAAATTCAACTGTATATTGTTAGTTACTTGTTAGTCATTGAATATATTTTTATATGTGACTTTTTATTTATTTTTTCCATTGAGCCGAGGTTGTAGCCATGTCCTCTCCTCTTCAAACTCCAATTCTCAGTGGCCTTCTTTCTGAGAAATTCTGATTTTGTTGATGGTTACTATGCCCATTCTTAGTAGATGCTGGGCCAATTTTTGTTTAGTATGATGTATGGATTGTACATGGAAATCCTATACCTAAGTTCTGATTTTTCAAGAATATTTTATTTTTACATATTGGAATTAATTAGCTGTGAATTGGTTTTGTGGTATGATTTGTATTTGAGCTGGTTTTTCATCATTAACAATGTATTTTGGATTGGTTTGAAAGAGTAATATACATGGATTTTTAAGTTTTACTCCATTTTATATCTCTTGGTAATATGGCAGGTTTTGATTCATCTATAAAAACCAAACGAAAAAAAAAAAAGAAAAAAGAGTGAATTGTTATGAGAGTTTTACTTTTTATGAGTGAATTTATCTAGTTTGAAATTCTATATTGGTTTTGTAGGATGATTTGATACATTGTTAATATATATATATATATATATATATATATATATATATAGTTATATACACATACATACATACATACCACACCTAGGTTCATGCTCGTTGGGTGGCAGTGGAGGAGCAATCGTTATGCTATGGACCCGTGTCCAGCATGCATGCTGGACACGGGTAACAAGGCCGTTAGGCACTGTTATCTCTTCCTTTTTTTTTTTTTTTTTTTTTTTTTTTTTTTTTTTTTTTTTTTTTAATTTCAAATCGCTTTGTTATAGGAGTATATGTTCATACTTTTATTACTATATGTTAATAAATGTACATTCATAACTCCATAACTGTACGTTCATAACTCCATAACTGTAAATTCATAACTCCATAACTGTACATTCATAACTCCATAATTGTACATTCATAATTTTCGAAGCTCTATGTTCATAATTTTATCACTATATGTTCATAATTGTAAGTTCATAATGTCAGAGCTCTTTGTTCATAATTTGATCAATAACTGTACATTCATAATTTCATAACTGTAGATTCATAATCTAATAACTGTAGATTCATAACTCCATAACTGTAAATTCATAACTCCATAACTGTACATTCATAACTCTATAATTGTACATTCATAATCTTCGAAGCTCTATATTCACAATTTTAAAGCTCAATGGTCATAATTTTATCACTATATGTTCATAATTGTAAGTTCATAATGTTAGAGCTCTGTGTTCATAATTTCATAATTGCATAACTGTACATTCATAACGGCATAACTGTACATTCATAATTCAAAAAAAAAAAAAAAATAACGCCGTTAACAACAAAACACGCGCGGATTTTTTTTTTTTTTTAAAACTAAATGACGCGTTTTTTTTTTTAAAAACGACGTCGTTTTGGGCCTGTGTCCACAATTCATTGTGGACACGGGTCCAGGGCATAATTTGCCGTGGAGGAGTATTAAGGGTGTGTTTGGTTGGTGGGTTTTGCCCATAGGAATGGGTATGAAAGTGATTGTTGTTGTTTGATTGATATGTTTTTAGAACACTACTATAGTTTCGGATACCCTATCAATTGAAAAACTCATACCCAAATAAAATAAGGATTTCATTCCCTTATTCATTCTCAAGCACTACTATTAGTAACCATTCCCATTCCACCCTACTACCAAACATGTTAAATACTTTCACCAAAATCCATTATCATTACCAAATATTTGATACCCATTCCGATTCCGATTCCTATGTGCGAACCAAACACTATTGTGTGTTAGATTTGTATTTTGGGGTGTCCCCTCGCATTATTCCAAAAATTATAATAATAATAATAATAATAATAATAATAATAATAATAATAATAATAATAATGAAAACTTTGTTATTTTGGTCCTTAAATTTTAGGAGAATCGTTCATTCAACGCTTAAGTTAATAGGATAACTATTATTTCTAAGGGTGTGTTTGGTTCGTACATAGGAATCGGAATCGGAATGGGTATCAAATACTTGGTAATGGTAATGGGTTTTGATGAAAGTATTTAACATGTTTGGTAGTAGGGTGGAATGGGAATGATTACTAATAGTAGTGCTTGAAAATGAATAAGGGAATGAAACCCTTATTGTATTTGGGTATGTGTTTTTCAATTGATGGGGTATTCGAAACCCATAGTAGTGTTCTAAAAACCTATTAACCAAACAACAACAATCACTTTCATACCCATTTCTATGAGCAAAACCCACAAACCAAACACATCCTAAGAATTGCATTTAATCTAAATCTTTTCATGTACTTTGATTGATGATTTATGTAATCCCCTTATTGTTGTTGTTATTCGAATTTTTTTCTTTCTTTCTTTTTTGCCTATCATCAACATATTTTTCCTTCCAAGTATAATATCTTCTTCACTCCTGTTTAACTCCCACCTTCTTAATTCTGAATTTGATATTTTGATCTCATCAAGATATTTCCCCAACAAAGGTGGGGCTGCATTCATGTTCGAATCATAAGTTATTGAGATGTGGTAGTGTATGAAAACATGATATTAGTGAATAGTGATTCTTATGAGCTACTATTATGATATGAAAAGATATTCTTTTCTCATTTATGGTTTAGATAGTTTTTATTTATATATTTTTTATTTTTTTGTAAAAAGTGTTGACATGCACACTACAAAAGTGCATTTGTTGATAGGTAAAAGTACACTTAAGATTTGCGAGTCACAAAACTACAAAATGCGTCTGTTGATATGTTAAAGTACATTCAAGACAGTTACATTTTTATATATCATTGGATGTACTTTGTAGTTTTGCATAATGTACTTTTAACATTTAAAAATTTATAATATTGACCAAATCACTATCACCCTTTTTTGTTTCTCTCTACTTTAGAGTCGTTGATCATCGCATCACTTTTTACCTAAGACTTGTTCTCTGCCTCTCACACACACATATTTTGATTAAAGAGGAGGAGGAAACCAAGCGGTTGTAGGTGATTCCCGCTCTATCTTCCTCAACCAACTCTTGCACTCTATTAGGAGGGTCTTGAATGTCTGTCCACGTCACACCATTTTAATTCTACTATAGTTCCATTTGATAATGTATATTCCTACTTGAGCTCTATTTTTTTGTTTAATTTTCCATACACACTAGTTTAATTATAGTAATCTTGAAGTATTATTTTAATTACACTTCAGGTCCCCTGTTTGGTAAAATAGTTAGTCTATAGGTCAATTTTGATTTATTTGACTACTATTAGTTGTTTGACTTGGTTTAGAAATCAATATAAGTGTTTGGTTAATTGGCTTTTTGTACTCCAAAATGCTAAAATTCAAAAAGCTACTCAAAGCAACTTTTTCAATTAGTTTTTTTGAGAAAAAAATTATATCAAACAACTATTGGCTAACCACTAATTTACCAAACACCTTTCGACAATCAACTAATGTTATTACCTAATTATACCTTCTAATTAACACAATCAGCTAACATCCATTTACCAAACATTGTCTATATATGCTCTTGCATGACTCTGGATTTTAATTTCATTTTTCATGCACAGTAGTTTCGTTATAGCAATACTAAAGTATTATTTGAATTATACAACAGTTTCATTTGACAATAATGTATTTAATTTTTTAGTTTTATTTTTCACACACACTAATTTTATTATAGTAATACTAAAGTATCATTTTAATTATACTACAGTTTCATTCGACGATCATGATCCATACAGTGATGTGTGGAGCATGGTCCATGGTATTACAACGGGCTTTTAGTGTACTGGGCCTAATAAACGATTTTCTGATAGAGCCCATCATGATCGTTAACATCGATCCTTGCACCCGATGAGCTAAGTTTTGGAGCACCATCGCCGCTCTATCTCCTCCACTCTGCTCCGCCACTCCGCACCATTTTCTCTCTCTCTCTCTCAATATTCATATATACAATTATACACACTAATGGGCTCAACTTCTACACTTTCGCTCTGCTCTCACCCAAAGGTAGCTTTCATTTTCGTCTCAGCACATACGCATATGATTCCGCTTTGAATTTTGTATCGTTTGCGTTTGTATTCATTTTATGCAATTTCAGATATATTTTAGAATCGACGATACACGGAAGCAGGGACTACAGAGCGAAGCGTTAATCAGTTCGGGGCGCTATTGTGCGTCGCGTGCGCTAGTTCAGTTTCCCGCACTTTGCATTAGTTTTAGTAGGAGTAGAAAATGCCTGCACAGGAGGAGATTAATGGTGAGAGCGGCTTCTTCAACTGGCGGTTCGTCGAGTTCTCGGAGAGTTTACCGGGAGTCCCAAGCCGAAGCCCCAGCCGTACCGATGAACGAGATTGCATCTTTTGTTCTTCCGGCGGGTGCTTTGGTCGTCGTTTCTTTCGGTATTAATATTGTTGCGTTTTCACTTTTTCAATCTGTTATGTTATTTTGTTACTGCAGTTTTCTTTCATATGCTTATTTTACTTGCATTGTATGTTGGCATTACTCTTCTGAACAGAAATGAAAGTAAATTGAGAAATGCAGTTTCTCTAAAGATGATCGATTGTAGTTCAGTAGGTTTATCTGAATTAGAGGCAGTGTCCCAATAATCTAAGCATACCTACTTACACAGATCGTTCTAATTGAACTTGAATAGTGGTTAGTCTATCAAACTCTACCAGCACAACTCCAATTCTGTGAGTCTATCATTTATTAATGGAGGAAAAAGGGCACCACAGAACATATGCAATTTTCAGAGTTGCAGTTCAGAGCACTGCTTTCTTGTGACCAATTTCTTACCTTCTAAACAATGGAAAAGATGGCAGAGTATTATGTCCTCTATGGCTCTATGAGAACCCCCTCTGGACCCTCCCATTATCAGTTCTTCAAAGGGATCTTCGGAAACACTTCTCCTTTTCTCGAATTATTTTTTGGTTGCAAATTGTGTTCAGATTCTGCAAAGTTTTTGCCTATACATTTTTTTTTAAATGGATTTTTCATGAAGCTTTTGAGAAATGTGTAGTTGAAACGTTGGAGATTTGGATTTGAGTTTCTTTTAAATAAAGAAAAACTTTCTTTGCTCCTATTTCCTTCAGTTCATAATTTACAGAACTCCCCAAAACGGGGAGGTTTGGTAGATTGATAACTATTTAGTTCAAATTGAAATATAGTGATAGCTTTGGTCAGAAACCCATAGAATTACATTTGAAACGATTCAAAAAAAAGATGAAAGTTATTCTTAAGCAAAAAAGAGTGTTGGATGATAAGTGCATGTAGATTCTTAAGCAAAAAAGAGTGTTGGATGATACATTTCCATTGTTGTTGAAGTATGAGTATATTAATGGAAGATTCCTATTCTTCACTGCATTTCCAACATAGACACAGTTCAGTGACATAAAAGTCTACTATCCCTCAAAATTTGCTGCTCAGCATTCTCCACTTTTAATTCTTATATAAATGAATAGTTAGCTTAAAGCATTTAATGAAAACAAAATAAATCCTAAAAGCATGTCTCGATTCATGTACTAATCTATTCCTTCAGTTGACAGTTTTATGGAAGCTAGTGGGGAAGTTTTTTGCACCAAAACCAGCTAGCCCTTCGTCAGAGGAAAATAAAGCCACCGAAGGCTTGAAGTGGTCATTTGCCCCTGGTACAAACTTATTATCTGGTTTTGGTCAAAAGGTCGCAAGGGAATCCAAGCAAAAGCTCAATGAGTTTGCAAAGGAACTTAGATTGTTCAGCAGTGTTGACATGTCAGGTAGACGCGCAGTTAAATTGCTATTTAATTCTCCAGAAACTACATATAGACTGTTTTTTGAGATTTGATTTATAATGGTAAACATTCAATGTCTGCTCACACCTTACCTCTACTTTATGAGGGATTTCTGATTGTTATTTCATGACTAACTGTTTGCAATCCATTGCTACTACACCTTTTAATGCCAAAATTACTGCTCTATTATTACTTTTTTTTTTTTTTTTTTTTTTTTTTTGGTGTGGTGGTCCTATGTAACTAGAGTAATATCATCCTGGATTTTCCATATCAGATAGGCCAACTTTTTTGTATATTTTTATTTTTATAAAAAGTTGCTTCTTCTTTTTGCTTCTACTCTTAGTCTCTTCAATTAGCTCTTCACTCTCTTCTATGGCCTCTACCCATCCACTTTACTTGTTACCATTCTCATACTTTATAAGAAAAGTTGGGGTTGTTGTCTTGTTGATGTGAGGAAATTTTGCCAGGGCGCAACTTTGGAGATGAAGGGCTATTTTTCCTTGCTGAGAGTTTAGCATACAATCAGGTAGCTCTATTGCCATAATGCCATCCTTGTCTCTCATCTGTGCATGCTTAAATTTCTGAGGTTTTAGGGTTATACAATTGCTTGGTTGATTGTGGTCAAACCTGTGTGTTTGTTTCACTTATGTAACAATGCTAAGGCCATGCACAAGTGGAATATATACCAGTAAAACCTAGCGTTATTAAAAATTTGGTTGCTTTACCTTGCATGTCTATTTTTCAGACTGCTGAGGAAGTGAGTTTCGCTGCTAATGGAATAACTGCAGATGGATTGAAAGCTTTTGATGGTATCCTGCAATCAAATGTTGCCCTAAAAACTCTTGACTTATCAGGAAATGCTTTCGGAGATGAAGGTGCTAAGGTAACCTCATATGGTGCTTGTTTGGCTCACATCTTATTGGAGCTTATCTATTCCAAAAAGCACAAGCTGCATCAAACACTGAAAAAAGAAAAATCAGCTTTTAAAGTTGAAAGGCAAAAAGATCTTTCGCTAGAAGCTTCACATTTTAGGCTTTTAAGAAAAGTCTCTTATTCATTAAGTTCCAGCTGTGCTAAACAAGCACATTGTTATACACGTCTCCTGGGAGATAATCTAATTTTATTCAAAGCTTGAATGCTGGAAATATTATAAAATAAAGAAAAAATGAATACCAAGAAGATGAAATATAATTTAATACTGTTTCAAAGTAAAATGACAAGGGTATAAGAAGCTACTAGATGCAGTCCAGAAACTGAGGAAAAGCAAAATACAATTATACAAAAATGATTTTGGATTAGATTGTGGTAGTTTCTGTTTTCAGTTTCACCATTAGTGAAGTTATATTGTATAGTGGCTTTCTCTTGCTTGACAGTGTCTATCTGAAATTCTGGTGGATAATGCTGGTATTCAAAAGCTCCAACTAAACAGTACTGGCATAGGAGATGAGGTTAGCATCATTTTAATGCTGTAAAGGTTCTATAAACAGTTAGATGAATAATACTCTTCTTACAGATGATATTATCCCCTTGCAGGGAGCCAAGGCAATTGCTGAGATGCTCAAGAAAAATTCAAACTTGCGTGTCCTTGAACTAAACAACAATTTAATTGACTATTCTGTATGATTTGGAGTATATATACTATATAGTTCTGCCTCATTCTATATTTTCTGCTCTACCACAGTCCACATATTTTCTAAATAAAACTTTTCTTCTCCTTCATTTAAATGTGGAGGTAGGGATTTTCAGGTCTTGCTGAAGCCCTACTTGAGAATAAAAGTTTACAATCCTTATACCTCAGGTGTAAAATTATTTCTGTTTTGTACCTTAAAGTAGTAATAGTAATAATTAAATTTATTTATTTATTTATTTATTTTGTTTCAATGTAATTACACTGTTGGCTATGAATACGTCATTATTACAGATGTTGTTTTTGGGGTTTAAGAATGCATTAAACCTATATTATTATTTTATCTCCTTAATTTACATTACTTTTGAATTGTGAATGTTTGAAGTGGCAATTATGGAGGTGCATTAGGGGCTGCTGCCCTGGCCAAAGGGCTGGAAGGGAACAAATCTGTACTGGTACTTTTTCATTTAGTATGTTTGCCATTTGCCTTTTTCTGGAAGGAGTTTCTGCATCAAATTTAAGTGACTTTTATATTATGCCAGGAAATTTATTTGCACGGGAACTCTATAGGTGATGAAGGCGTGCGTGCCCTAATGTCTGGCTTATTTTCACGCAGAGGTTTTCTTACAGCATTAACCATTCTCTGAAGCCACTTGCATGCTTTAATTTTTTCACAGGTTTACTCGAATTGATTATCATAATATCTCTGTAGGGAAACTTGTGAGGCTGGACATTAGTAACAATTCCATCAGTGCTGAGGGTGTCTTTCATGTTGCTGAACATGTCAAGAAGAGCAAAAGCTTGCAGTGGTTGAACCTTTATATGAATGATATTAAGGATGAGGTGACTGTCAATAAATATTGAACGTTTTATATTTTGTTTTCATTCTTTGATTTTTTTTTTAAAAAAAAAACCCTTTTGTTTCTAGAGAAGTAAACAAAACTCATACCTTGTTTTAACTCCCAACTGTATTGTTCATTCATCAAATATTAAGAATATCTTCCTACTCCATAGAGGTTAAATGAAATATTTTGAGAAATCCTTAAATGAACATTGACTTTTGCATCTCCATCTTGCTTTTTACCTATCAGTGATAATGTGATTTTTGGTAGTTTACTAGAACTCTGATGGTTGTCAACAGTGTTGGGGAGGTACAACATGTCAACATGAAAGATTTGTTTGACTGACCACAACGTCTATTGATACATTCACTTAGTCTTTTCCTTGTGAATGTCCCAGGGAGTTGAAAAATTAGCAGAAGCTTTGAGGGAGAATCGTTCAATAGTTAACCTAGATCTTGTGAGTTCAATATCTTATCTTTCATGGCCATTTCATTCCCCACCCCAAGTATTAGGTCTTGTTTCAAGGTTGGGCTTGGTAACTTGGTTTAATGGTCAATGCTCAACCTTGAAGCCTTAGATGCTATTATATTGGGGTGTTTGTTTTATTTTCAAACACAAAATAAATACCTTGACCTTGTTGACAATATGGGTTGGGGGATTTTTGCAGGGAGGCAATGATATACATGCCCATGGTATTAGTGTTATTGCACGAGTTCTGAAGGATAATTCTGTCATCACAGTTGTGAGTAATCAAGCTGCAATCTCTTCTCAGTTTGATGTAAATTTACATTTACATAATATGCATCTCTTTCACCCTCGTACACAGTTGGAACTTGGTTATAATCCTATTGGACCTGACGGTGCAAAGGCATTAGCTGAAGTTCTTAAATTTCATGGGAATATAAAGGACCTCATGCTTGGTTGGTGTCAGGTAATCAATCCACTGATGGCATCTTCATATTTTCCATCCAGCCTTGTCAAGTTCTTTTATGATGAGTTTGTATCTACCATACAGATAGGGGCCAAAGGTGCAGAATATATTGCAGATATGTTGAAATATAATGGTACCTTATCAAGTCTAGACCTGCGGGCTAATGGACTTAGAGATGAGGTTTGTTTCTACTAATTTATTCTCTACATTGAATGTGCACTTGTGCAAAAATATCTTTTATTTTGTTTTGTGCCTTCTTTGCAGGGTGCTATCTGTCTGGCTAACAGTTTAAAGGTGGTGAATGAAGCATTGGTGTCACTGAATTTGGGGTTCAATGAAATTAGAGTATGTTCTTTCCAGAGTAGTAAATTTCAGCCCCAAGAAAGTTGTTTCTTTCAACATATTTATGAACTTGTTTCACAGGATGAAGGAGCATTTGCAATTTCTCAAGCACTCAAGGCCAATGAAGATGTGAGGCTGACTTCTATTAATCTTTCCAACAACTTCTTTACCAAATTGGGACAGGTAAAGCACCACCCCCTCTCTTACTGGATCCAACAATTTCATACGATACTCATTACTCAATTAGACTTCAACATTATGCAGACTGCCCTCTCAGATGCGAAAGACCATGTATACGAGATGACTGAGAGGGAGCTCAATGTTCTTTTCTAGACGAGCAAATACAGTTTTCCATTTTTCCCCAATTGCAAGCTGAACTGCGCCCATTCATTCGTTGGATGCTGATATCTTTCAGAGTGTTTGTTATAAGCAAGTATCTTGTGCTACTTGTTAGTCTCAGATTTGAGCGAGGGAATATAGGAAATTTTGGTATTGAGAGAGAGGGAGGGTGAAGTGGTGAGGGGGTGTATAGTCATTTTTGAAGATGTCTCAAATTTGATGTTGTCATATTTTCATCAAATGTGTAGATTGTATCCTACTATCCTCTCAGCTTATGATACTATCGGTATCTTACTCTGATCACATAGTATCAGACTTTATTACTCTTATCACATAGTTTCCGTGTAGATTAAAGCAACGCTCCAATTAACTAGATGTACAATCCCTCCAAGCAGCATCGATGTCACTTTAAGGATGTGTGAATGAGAGACATAATTGTATCACTTATTTGAGCATCACATTTTCTAGTTCTCGCATTTAAACACGAAAGGGACAAAACAAATATCAGACAAACCAATGGTCCCCATGAGATAGTAAGTGACTACATCCTACAACTACACTTACATAGGATACTATATTGTCTGCCCTACAACTACACTTACATAGGATGCTATATTTTCTGCAACCGTATAGTATCGCATAACATATTTTTGGACTTAATCTTCCGTCTCAACCCCTTTTCTCACAGTGGTCCAGTTTCTGTAAGTCTTGGATTTGAGAACTAAATAAATTAAATTTAGGGATTTATGAGCATGTGGTGTTTCATAAGTAGAATTGGCGATGATTATTTGGGAGAAAAGATGAAAACGTTCATTTATAAATGACTTATCTAAAAGGAATAATGAAGGTCATGCCGTCATGCCAATTGAAACGTATATGCATTAATAAGAGGGAAATTGATTATTATAGGCATTTTCCTTTTGTGTTGGACAAAATTAGGACATTGAATATTTTTGGACAGTCAAGGGAAATTCGAATTTGGGAAATGCGATTAGGCTGAAAAACACATTTCCCAAACTCGGTCGAAATAATTGATATTCTCTCCCCCGTCAACATCAGACGCATTTGGAAAATGCGGGTGATGTATAAAATAAGCCAAACGCATTTTCCAAATGCGGATATAGTATACGTGTAATCCGCATTTGGAAAAAATATTCTGACTTCTCTCTAAAAATCGAGACCAACGCTGCTCGCAAATTTGCCATCGCGAAGGTGAAAAACCGGCCGATCCAGAGACGATCGGAAGCAGCATAGACGATCGCAAAAGGAAGCTGAGTGATGCAGAGGATACGCAAGAGCCTCCAGCTACTAAAGAGGAGATGAATCGAAGATTGACGAAGGACGTGGGAGGAATTCGAACGCAACATCAAACGGTTACAAAATCGACGACTGATTTCGGTCGATCGCTTCCAGCGATCGTAAAAAAGTGAGGTAGGTGTCTCGATGGCTCTGATGAGTTCAGAAATCGAGGAGATACTAGAATTGTGTTTCTCAAATGCGGAAATGCCTCTTAGCAAAATACGTAAGCCGCATTTGGAAAATGCGTTTGGTATATTTTATACGTCAAACGCATTTCCCAAATGCGACTATTCCCTGGAATAGAAAACTTCCATTCGAGTTTGAAAAATACGTTTTTCAACACAATCGCATTTTTCAAACTCGAATTTCACATGACTGTCCACAAATAGTCAGCGTCCTATTTTTGTCCAACCTATTGTTGACGGTCATATAACAGTCAATTTCCCTTAATAAGACCAGCATGTAACTCATCTAAAATAATAATGAAGGTCCATATGGGTAGCTTAGTTAGTTACCATGATAAACTTTGAGAACAATGACTCAGGATCGAGTCTCATCCGGCAGGGGATAATTTGAAAGAAGCGGGTCAATGACCGAAATGGGCAGGCAACTTAATCTTTTTTAAGAAGGAAAAACTCATTTTGGGTAACTTAAGAAGGAAAAAAACTCATTTTGTGGACACGCGTTTCTGCATTTTAGTCAAAAAGAAATTCATTTAGAATTTTTGGGAAACTCATTTACTACTCACATTTCAATTAATCCAAGTCCGAAATTTCCTCTATATTGTACAACTATAAAAAAGTGTCAGTTTCTTTTCTCATTTTGGATCATTTCTGTCAAAAACCCATTTGAAAGTTACGTTTTGTGGTCTTCCTACTTGACACAAAAGCAGAGTAAAAAAAAGGTGTAGAAATGGTGATATTGACCTGTTGAGCTCCATTTCCAAAGCTACTCTATCGAGACTTTTTTTTTTTTTTTTTTTTTTTTTTTGAGAATTACTCTATCGAGACTCTGGATCTGTACAAGAGCCCCAGGCCATGACGACGGCGAGACTGCGTTCTCCGGCGGCACTAGCAGTTGCGCTTCTTCTGTGGCTCGTCCACTTCTCCGACGCGTCGGCCTCGTCTTTTCCGGAAGAAAACAAGGGCGAGGAAGGCGTTATCGGATATGGTTACAAAGTTATTTCAGTTGGCGCAGATTCCACTGCAACTTCTCTCACTGCTAAGCTTCAGCTCATCAAAAAATCCTCTGTTTTTGGACCTGATATTCCCTCACTCAACCTTGTTGCCAGGTTTCATTACTATAATTGTGTAAAATTTTTGTTGTAAAAGTATTTTCTGTATTTAAAAATTTCTTAAAAGTGTGTTTTCATCTTCTAACAGCTTTGAAACAAGCGAGCGTCTGAGAGTCCGAATAACGGACGCTAACAACCAGAGATGGGAGGTTCCACATGACGTCATCCCCCGCCAACAACCGCCGCCGGAGGCGGAAGCCTTCCAACCGTTGATCGGAAACTTCCTCCAACGTTCGATCTCCTCGCCCAATTCCGACCTGGTATTCACTCTACAGAACACAACCACGAGCCCGTTCGGCTTCACGGTCCACCGTCGTTCCACCGGCGACGTCCTCTTCGACACCTCGCCGGTGGCAAACCGTCCTGAGACTCTGTTCATCTTCAAAGACCAGTACCTCCAGCTCTCCTCCTCGCTGCCGGCCGACAGAGCGAACCTCTACGGCCTGGGAGAGCACACCAAGGGGTCTCTCAAGCTCAGTCACAACCAGACGCTGACTCTGTGGAATGCCGACATTGGAAGCGCCAATCTCGACCTCAATTTGTACGGCTCCCACGCTTTCTACATGGACGTCCGATCGCCCGCGGGAGCCACTCATGGAGTGTTCCTCCTGAGCAGTAACGGCATGGATGTTGTGTACAACGGCGATAGGATCACTTACAAAGTCATCGGAGGGATTATCGATTTGTATTTCTTTGCCGGACCATCTCCTCCGGCGGTGATGGATCAATACACTCAACTTATCGGCCGTCCCACCGCTATGCCATATTGGTCTTTTGGTATGAAATCATTAATCAACTTTGCTTCTATTTTTATGCAACTTCATTTTCCATTTCATTTGCTTGATTCATTCATTTGGAAATCTAGGGGTTTTTTTTTTTAAGTACTGTTACAATTAGTATTTATTCATATCTTTCTCAACCTATCGAAGTATAAAGAGTCAGTATTGCGCTCACTAGGGCTTGAACACATGACCTCCCATTTGGGAGAGTCACTTCATGTCACTCGACCACAAGTTCATTGGCAATTTGGCATTTGGAAATCTAGTTAGTTGCACTGTTTTATTTGAAAGTAAAACTAAGTTGCATTAATAGTGTTTTTTTTTTTGTAATGGATGCAGGTTTCCACCAGTGCAAATGGGGTTACAAGAGTGTTTATGATATTGAAAATGTAGTTGCTAATTATGCAAAAGCTGGAATTCCTTTGGAAGTTATGTGGACTGATATTGATTACATGGATGCTTACAAGGATTTTACACTAGATCCAATTAACTTTCCTTTGGACCTGATGAAGAAGTTTGTTTATAGGCTTCATCAAAATGGTCAAAAATATGTGCTAATTATTGATCCAGGTAAACTAGTATGTATTATGTGCTTGATTGAAACATCCCTTACCTACCTACCCTCACAAATTATAAAGAATATAAAAATTAGTATAATGATCATGCTACTTTATCACAGGTATTAGTATTAATGATACTTATGGGACTTACATCAGAGGGATGGCAGCTGACATCTTCATAAAGAATGATAATAATAAGCCATATAAAGGAGTTGTTTGGCCAGGAGATGTTTACTATCCTGATTTTCTGAATCCATCTGCTGGGATCTTCTGGAGCAATGAAATAAACAAGTTCCACACTCAACTCCCTCTAGATGGCATTTGGCTTGACATGAATGAGTTATCAAATTTCATATCTTCACCTGTCGCTCCATCTACCCTTGAAGATCCTCCTTACAAGATCAACAATTGGGGAACTAAAGAATCGATAAATCATAAAACAGTTCGAGCTACTGCTGTGCATTTCGGTAATGTTACAGAGTATAATGCCCACAACCTCTATGGGTTTTTAGAGTCCAAAGCAACGAATGCTGGGTTGGTGAAAATCACCAGTAAAAGGCCATTTATACTTTCTAGATCAACATTTCCTGGCTCTGGGAAATACACTGCACATTGGACTGGAGACAATGCTGCTACTTGGAATGACTTGGCGTATTCCATTCCAAGTATTTTAAATTCTGGATTGTTTGCGATACCAATGGTTGGGGCAGATATATGTGGATTTAATGGAAACACAACTGAAGAACTCTGTCGACGATGGATTCAGGTACCAATTCACTGCTTTTATTGTTTCTTTATATTCAAATGTCAATATTGTCTGCTTCAATTCATAAGGAAAACCAGTTGAGTTCTATTAAAAGTAGTGGGAATGTGGCTTTTATTCTTATCCTGTTCCTATAAAGTATGATTTTGATTACTTTATTCTCAAAGAAGTAAATTTTAATGCAGCTTGGGGCTTTTTATCCGTTTGCAAGAGACCACTCTATAAAGGATTCAATCCGTCAAGAACTCTATGTTTGGGATTCGGTTGCTGCTACAGCTAAGAAGGTCCTTTCACTCCGTTACCAGTTACTTCCATATTTTTACACATTGATGTATGAAGCTCACATGAAAGGAACTCCAATTGCACGCCCTCTTTTCTTCTCATTCCCTCGAGACACCAACACATATGATATTAGTTCACAGTTTCTTCTTGGCAAGGGTGTCATGATCTCGCCTGTATTGAAACCAGGAGAAAACTCAGTTAACGCCTATTTCCCAGCTGGAGTCTGGTTTGATCTCTTCAATTATTCGCATTCTGTGAGTTTGAAACACGGAAAATATGTCACATTGGAGGCACCACCCGATCACATCAATGTACATGTTCGCGAA